CTTTTCCACCCTCTTTCCTTCTCTCTCCCACCTCCTTTCTCCAGTCTCACCAGTTTCATTCTCCCCCCCCCCCCAGTTTTGTTAAATAAAGATAGTTTGTGTTCATGAAAATACATGTATTTTATTTGACATCAGGAAGGGGGGCTGGGAGGGTAAGTGGAACGATGTGGAGGAGGAATGAAGCACAAGCCCCCAGTGGAGCAGACCAGGGAGGCTCTTAGAGCTCCTTAGGGTGGAAGCTCTCCCGCAGGGCCTCCTGGATACTGACAGGCCCTCCTGGATGACAGTTTGCAGAAAGTTCAGCCAGGCTCTCATCAACACAAGAAGCACCAGAGTGCCCAGAGGCAGCTCCGGCTCCATGTCGCAGAGTGCTGTGGTGTCCCGAGTGAGGGCAACCAGAGCACGCAGAGATACAAATGCTTTGCTGTCCCTCATCGAGGTAGGCAAGCAGGGAAAATTGAGGACTGGCTGCTCGGGGTGGGGGTCCCTTTTAGCACAAGCCTCAGATAGCCTCAGGCAGCAGCCACACAAATAAACTCCTGACCTGATGACCTGCTGGACCTAGTTCCGGCCGGCCTTCAATGCAATTCAGTGTCCACTCAGTGTGGACATGCTATTTCGAAATAGCAAAATGCTATTTTGAAATGCATTTTGTGTGTAGATGTGTTACTTCAAAACAAGCTATTTCAAATTAACTATTTTGAAATAAGGTCTTTCAAAATAACACTGTAGTGTAGACATACCCTTTGCTACCAGAATGTGCTGAAATTCCAGCTCCCAAGCATAGCCATCCCACTGGCATCACTACTCCAAACACAGACATACGGGATTCTTATTGGTGCCTGTTGCTTGTTAATATGCTGGGAGTGGCAATGTGAGGAAAAGGGGAAAGGAGGGTGAACTACAGGACTAAGCCAGATGTCAGCAGTTTGAGTTACTTTTGTACAAGGCCAACAGAAAGTCATTAATACATATTGAAACTATCAGAATATGAAATCAGATATCAGAAGATGCATTGAAAGCAAAATAGAGCTCAGACGTGGAATGAAAACAAAATGCGGGAGAGCATTGGAATGAAATTTTTGAATTGTTTAACGGGGGCATGCTTTCCTAACTTTGCTGTGTGAAGTTTCTTTGAATGGACAAATTGCCTATCAGAGACATTGCTCTCAATCATCAGATGATGGATGTCTGGTAACATGGAGCCAAATAAAGAGCTGTTGATGAGCCTAGCTTTTGGAATGGCACCCTTCTCAAGCTTGATAGATGATTACATCTGAGGAAATAGACAGTGAAAACTCACAAACTTTTAAGGGGGCACTGCTGATGTGTATGGCTAACTGGGGAGAAGTGAAAAACAATATAGTTGTCATGTTCACTACATGTCTTAGCAGCAGCATTCTTTAGCTATCTTTCAGAGGTCCATTGTAAAGGCAGCTGATCCTCCTCCTACACATTCATGAAGACTTTTAGTCCTAAACATTTGAGCACTGTTCAGTTTTACTTTTTCATACAAGTGGTCTTAAAATTATGAAAAGGAAACAGTGTAGTGAAGAGAAATGTTAAGAGTGCGGAATGGGATAGAGCACTTACTTTAATGAAAGAGAGTGGAGTTTCCATTGGGTACAAGGAGGTACAAGGTACAAGGAGGTACAAGGAGGATGTTAGCTTTAAATAAAATCAGTATTGGTTATATCTCATCTCAAAGGATTATTAGGGATTAGTAACAGAGAATATATCATAAGTGGAATATAGAACACATAATTTGTTCATTCCCATAGCATAAGAACTAGGGGTCATCAAATAAAATTAATAGATAGCAGGTTTAAAACAAACAAAAGGAAGCTTTTCTTCACACAGCACAGTTAACCTGTGGAACTCCTTGCCAGAGGATGTGGTGAAGGCTGGAACTTTAACAGGGTTCAAAAAAGAGCTAGATAGATTCATGGAGGTTAGGTCCATTAATGGCTATTAGCCCGGATGGGTAGGAATGGTGTCCCTAGCCTCTGTTTCTCTGGAAGTGGGAGACAAGGGAGGGATCACATGAGGATTACTTGTTGTGATCCCTCCCTCTGGGGCATCTGGTATTGGCCACTGTCAGCAGATAGGATACTGGGATGGATGGACCTTTGGTCTGACTCAGTCTGGCAGTATTTTTCAATTTTATTTGGCCACTGAACCCTTTTAAATTCGAAAGAATTTTGCGGGACCCCTAATAACAGTAATATATGGACATCAGTGCTGAGTAGTGACATCATTGTCCCTGCTCTCTGGCTAAGCTGGCATTACACAGGGACACTTAACGTGGCAAACACAAATGAAAATTGTTTTAATTAAAATCATAATTGCTTAAATATTAATTAATTTTTTAAAATTATAAAATGTTGTAGTGGAATTTTCTCATGGAACCCTTTTGTTTTTGCGGAACACCATTTGGGAAGCACTGCAGCATGGCCATTCTTATGTTCTTAATTTATAGTTTAAGAAGGTGAAAATGAGCACACTAAGTGTGAGTCACTTATATCATATTTATAAGTAAATGGTGTATTTTCTACGGTGGCAGAAAGGTTAATGGATCATTCCTTAGTCAGATTAAAGGAGATGGCTTAAAGAAAATGACTGGTCCTGTGGGTAAAAATTTCACTAGCCTATAAATATTTTGCCAGTTTAAGTACTATTTTCAAAGCATTTATGTCAGTGAGACTCAGACAGTTTCCCTGGGAAGCAAGCACTTAAGGGCTTGTCTGTAGACAAGCAGTAGCACTTTCTACTAGTACAGTTGAAGCCGCTCAGTCATCTGTGATTAACATAAATAAACCAATAAAATAAGTGCTTTATGTGGGTAAGGCAGTAAGTTGTTACAGTATCTTTGTAAACAGATATAACTGCATTTACTCTAGGGTGGTAGCAGTATAAGTGTAGTTTTAAAAAAAAACAAAACCAAACCCTGAGAAGTAGTTATACCAAGTCTTATGTTGTTTCAGTGCTTTTGAATAACTTATCCAAAAGCTTTTTTTTAATTGGGGTGGGGGAAAGAGGGCACCAGCTGCATTACTGACACATTATTTAGTCAAGTGTGTATTAGGAAAGAAACACAATTTGAAAAATAAGTATCTTGTAGGACCCCAGCACTTGACTGATTTTCTGTGAACTGTTAATGGTATTTGCAATTGTAGTAAAGGTTCTTTAGGTTAGTCACTATCTAGTGCTGGACCTTAAAATGTAGGGTGTGGGTGGCATTTGTTACCTGGTATGATATAAAAATACAAATGTTTTCCATAATTTTTTTTTAAGAGTAAGCATTTTCTTTACACTGCCCTGCAGTGTTAGAAACCCAGGCATAACAGCATTGTGCCTATGCACCAGTCATGGAAATGACCTCTTACCAGAAGGTCAGACTGACCAGATAAGTTTCACTGCTCTGAAATTGCTTTAAATCCACAGAATAAATGGCAAAATGGTGAAAAGTAAACTTTTCTATTTATTAAAGTGAAATTGGTGATCTCTGATGGAGCTAGTATCATCAACAAAGTACTTTTTTACCGTGACATCTTCCTTTTTTTAACTGAAGCCTTTTTTCCCCTGTTCATTGAACATCAAATTAAACCATTCAAAAATAGAGAAAAAACAGCAGAGCCACTCTTGATCTATTTGATTGTCTGTTGTGCACTTGGAGATTTGTCATAAATTATTCTGAATTCTCCCTTTGATAAATAAATTAATAAACTCATAAACTCATGTAGTGGTGCAGTTTCGGTTAAATGTCCAACAAAAACTGTTTTGTACTGTCTTTCCTTCATCTGATTATACCACAATCTAAAGAACATGTCAGATCCAGTGAACTGATGAATGTTTTGATACCAATCTAGAATGTTTGTTTAAAGCAATTGAGAAAACAAGTTGAAAATATGTAAGGTATTCACTATTTATAAAAGCAAGTGCACATACCTGGCTGGGGATGGCTGTGGTGGGAAGGGGAGGGTTTACAAGAAACAAAATATAATAATCCAGTGTATAGCAAAACTAAAAATCTTTAGGACATTAATTCCATGTTGATCACAAGAATAATAAAAATCAGAGGGAGCAGTAATTCTTAGTCCCTCTGCTAAGATTGTCAGTTGTAATCTTGAACCTGTCCTGCAGAAACTTGAGACTTACGGCCACCAGCTGCAGTATTAAGAGGCAAACAAACAAAACAATCACTGCACACCTCGATTGGATTAAAAAGACTATCTATTAACAGTGAGCAAACATTACTCTAATTCTTAGTAGAAAATTTTGATTGTCTACACCAACATGTTAACATCACCAGATTCTCAAGCAGCATAAGGAATTATTAAAAAGTAAGCTGCGAGATTATAGACAGAAAGCATTTGTAGTGTGGTAATTGCATAGGGTAATGCATTCTAGGGTTTTATATTATTATTTTGATCATGCTTTTAGTCATTGGTTTCAAAATAATCTAATTCTAATAGAAGTGATAGTCCATAATGTAACTACACTTGTCTATCTTTAGTTTTGTTGCAACTCCGTGACATTTCAGTCCATAGGAGTTTAGTCCATTCAGGAATTTTAAATGATGGGATGTAAACCTGAGAAATGCTATTATATTACTTTATAGCTGAAGATCAGAAAATGTAGAAAATTAACTTCAGCCATTCTGTTAAATTCAGACCTTTAAAACTGAAATGTGGTGTTAAAAACCTCTCAAATAATATTAAAGACAACTGCTTTCGTATAACATTTTTCTGTTTTAATATCTTCATGGTGTGGGGAGGGGGAATCGTGAAGTAAGGAATAGTTGTATAGCTTCTCATTTATTTCCTGATGTAACAGGGTTTAATGAATAGCATTACAGGAAGAGTATATTTATGCTTTTCTGTCTTAAGTAAAATAAAGAATAGCACCATAAGTGTGTTAGCTAGATAGGTGTTCCAGAGATTCAAGATCAATGAGAATCATGGTTTTGTTAACTTCATCAACATGTTCATTTTTTTCAGCTCCATGTTCATGCATGTCTTTTAACCCGGAAACAAGAAGGCTGTCCGTAGGTCTAGACAATGGTTCAATCTCAGTAAGTACATGTAAATAAGATTTCCCGTTGAAATACTTCCCTTTTGAGAAGTATGTATACATTATTGTGATGAGGAATTTCAATTAGCATTGGCTAAATGACGGAGATTAACATTGACCCTAGCTATTAATGAAACTGACAGCTTAATTGCTGAAAACAGTCAACCATAACAAATTTCAAACTGCTATCTAAACTTGAGCTGGGTTTAGAGGAATTAGGCAACTAAACAAATTGTATGGGTTTACTTGTCCAGAAACAAGTTCTTAATTTGCCAACTTTGATCAAATTATTAATCGCCTGTGCTAAGTAGGGATGTAAAAAAAGTAGCTGATTGTCAACTACTTACATTCTCCCTCCTTTCCTCCCCTCCCCTCCCATGCTGCCTCTGTATCAAATTGTATCAAGTACACAATTAGTCATTTACTTGCTACTTAACCTCCTGGGTGCTAAGCTGGTTTCTGAACACAACAAATAAACATAGTGTTACTTCCAGATCCATATGATGTGTGGAACTGAAAGTACATACATTTTAGCTCTTTATACACAATTTATAGCGCTGTTCCAGAGCACTGTACACAAAGACTGGTTTTGGTTATTCTCTTGTTAACACAATGTGACTCGGGTGTAATTTTCCCTATGAGGAACAACTTCCTTCTATGGAATCCATTCTGATTTATAGCGGTGTGAATGGACCCATTCTCCTTTCAGTAACATCCGAGATATCCCCGTGTATGTAAAAGAGCAGAACACTGAAGCAGAGATCTGCCATGTAGCTCAGGGGGGCCCTGTAATTATTATGTAAATTCTTACTTGGGGGGCTGACAGAGAGCTGTGTTCAGAGGACAAGCACAGTGTCCTACAGAGAGCACATGGGGGGCTCCCTGGGCTTTGCCCTGCTTACCTGTGAGCTCTCTGATAGGTTTTAAGGTGCTGGCTTTGACTTCTAAAGCCTGCCTGAAATGAACTGGGAACATCCTGTCTGAAATTTTGTCTCCCTTTTTTATTTTGCTACAGCTGCAGGTGTTAAAATCCTCATTGATATAATACATAAGTGGGAGCTATAAGGGCTTGAGGGAAGCCTTCCCTCTAGTGTGATTTCTGCCTTTGTTGTCTTTCAGCACACACTGCACTTGTTTTGCCTGTCCTTTGAGGAGAGAGACAGGATTGAGATAAAGGGTGTCCCCCCGCTATAAATTGCCCTGGTATACATCCGTTGTGCTCTAAAGTCGTTGATGCTTGTGGTAACTAATGCACTAAAAGTCCTCCCATTCCCCACTCTTAAGTCACACACAAAAAAACCCCAATTTGTGCAAATGAAAGCCAGCTGCATGGAAACAAATCCCCACTTTAAGTTGTTTTGCTGTAAGTCTGAGTTTTTTGGAACATATCTTGGACTTAGAGCAAGGACGGCCTGTACTAGTCAGGATATAGAGTGTTGGTATTTTTTGCTCTTGCTTATGGGAAAGGGAAAACTGATTGAACCGTGTCTTGAGTTTGTAATTCTAAATAGTTGACAAGAGACTTGGATCCTCTCTGAGGGCACGTTATTTATTCTGAAGAAAGTAAATTGAGGAAAAAGATGCTGGTTGCATGTTGTTAGATTTGTTGGTATAGGGCAGGGGTCTCCAAACTTTTCAGCCCGAGGGCCGCATTAACTATCAAACAGCAGTTCGGGGGCCGACTACACACTTGAGGTCCAAATAAAAAACAATCAAAACATGGATGTTGTTTTTAATTATTTATTTAATATTATTTTATTCAGTTATTATTTAATAACACATTGATACACTACACATGAACACCTGTATTAGTGTGAATGGTGAAATTGTTTCCTGGATGCCAAAATAGCAGACATTTCTGGCTTTAGAAATCACTGTTTGAAATTGGGGGTGGTTCAATATGTTCAGCCTAAGACACTCACACTTGAAGAGATGTGATCGCTCTCCTATCATGCAGGGAATGAGGTGACAATTTGTAACATAGCCTCATGGAACAAGGGGCATGCATTTTAATGGGAAAAGCTGGTTTGAAAGCAGGCTACATCGGCATACAGATTCTGTCCTACCAGGCTGTTTTCCCTTGTTTAGCCCTTTAAATGCTCTGAAAGTATCAGCATGGAACAGGAAAAATCACACAGCATACAGATGTTTTAGCATACAGATGTTTTGTTATATTCCTCCAACTTCTGAATCAAAGGAATATCTGATTACTAATAGTTCAGAAAGCTGCAGTTATTCTCTAAAATACTTGAAGATACAGAACAAAATTTTTGGAAATATTCCAAGAGAGTCAAAGCTTAGAGTGAAAAGTTGGTTATTTCAAATGCATCAGCACAGGACAAGGAAGAAATGTGTTTGAAATACTCTCTCTACATGCACTTGTAAAATAAGACTGATTCTAGTAATATGTCTGGCATTTTGGTGAATGGAGTTTTAGTATTGTAAGAAGCAGGATGTTTGTATCTAAAGAGGCTGACAATCAGTAGAGAGACATATGTTCCACCAGAGCTGGGGGGAGAGAGCTGGTGGCTGAGATGAATTACTGTTGTTTCAATTTAGCTTAACCTCTAACTAAAAGTTAATTAGAACAGTTCATCCATTTGTCACTGAGTAAAATCGAGTGGATGATGAACTTCTCTCCTTTTGCTCCTAGAAGTGTCAGAAGTGATTATTCTCAACCGTTATAACTTGTCAGCTTGGAAGCTTAAATTTATAAGCAGAACATGCAGACAAGATGACCGAGTGTGCCTTGCAATGATTGATTTTAATCTCCACTGCCAGATTTCATATGTCCCTAGGAAATGGTGGCACTTAAAACAAAATCATGTTGTTGGGGGTTTTTTTCTTGTGCTCCCACTCTGCAACACCTTCCCCTAAACCTGGCCTGAAGTTTGGGAAGCTGTCTTTCAAGAGTCCCTCTTGTTCCATTGCTTACTCCAAATCTTCAGGGCTTTTTCAGGTCCCTTAGAAGCCAAGGGACTCTTTCCTCAAAATCAAACTCTGTTCCAACATGAAGAAAAAATAAGCTTTGTAGAAGATGTCAGTGTCCCACTCAAGTGGCTGTGAAGAAGAAACCTCCCTTTCTATGAAGGTATCTTAAAAGCTCTGCCTCCATTAATTGTAAGGACATTTATACACTATCACTATTCTTCTGTTGTTGTAAGCAAAATTTTTGCACATCCCAGAACTTGTCTTCATGAGCACCTAATGCATGGCACGCTAACGTGTGGTAGACTTCCACTCCAGCTTGATGCAAACTGGGTGCCAAACCCATTGAGTTGGGTCTCAAGAAAAAGATCCATCCCATCAAACACCCCATTCAGAGCAATGACACTTCACTATCAGGAAAAATTGATTTTTCTCATCTAGCAAGAGCAAGTGCTAGAATTTAGTCTGTCATATACAATGTCTGTAACTGAGGTTGGCCTGCTCACCCAGATTGTGGCCATTAGACTGTCTTTTCCCTAGAGATAAGAAGATTAAATGAAAGTTTACGTCATCCTCCTAGCCTCTTGATCTGATTCATATTCTGTACAGAATGAGTTGCTTCAGAACTTGAAGAGCTCAACTTTGTTTTGCTTCTAGGGTATGCCCTGTGAAGTCTGCTCTGCAAGCTAGATAGAGGAGACTGGTTTAAGCCCACAATGAAAATCTTACTTGAAATCCAAACTCCATGCAGTGGTCCCAACTTTTTCTGCACTTTTTTTTTAAATATTTTAATCCTTAATAGCTTTAATCCTGAGTAATATTTCCCAGGTTATGAAAGATGATCAAACTTTTTTTAAATGCCTCTTGGGAAATAAACAAAACCTTACTGTTGACTATGTAACTGCAATTATCTTTTAAAGAGCCTTTTTTTTCTGATCCTGAAGCTAATCTGTTCTCTTCTGGGGTATGTACTCACTAACGCACTCCAATAAGGATTTGTCAGCCACCCTTTCACATAAGAGCCCAAGATTGTATCTATCTTTGGATTTCTTAGTATTCAAACTATGTAATCTGGTCCAGAAGGATTGTAAAATCCTTCGGCCAAAGGCATTTTTTTTCTGCCTCATCTACAAGGCTGAGCACTGTGTTAGCAGTTAACGTAAATAGTGTGCAAAGATAGTAGACTTAGTCTGCTCAATAGTTGTCAAGAGAGTACTGGAAGAATGCCTGTGTGGCCAAATTTAATATTTTCAGGTGGGAAAAGATTAAAATGAAATTCCCAAAGGATGTTACTTGAATTTTTTTTGAGGGAGAATATTTGTCTGTCTCAATTATTATCTGGAGGTCTATACACAGCAATCTTTATCCCCAAATAAGACATTCTTGCTTACTCGAGATTCACCTCGCCTGTTCGTAAAGGCTTTTGTGGTGAATCCAACACTGGAATAGGCTCCCAAGGGAGGTTGTAGCTCTCCATCATTAGAAGCTTTTAAAAACATGTTGGGTAAACTTCTTATCAGGGATTGTCTAGGGCAGTGGTTCCCAAACTTTTTGGCATCACACCCCCTTTTCGATTTTTGAGAGACCCTCATTCTCTTCCCCCCCCCCTCTCGCAGTGGTTCCCAAACTTTTTGGCATCATGCCCCCTTTTTGATTTTTGTGAAACCCTCACCCCCCACCCCTCAAAAAAGGCACTGACCAGAGCTAAAAAAACAGTTGCTGCCCCTTTAATTCCCGGGACCAGTGTAAAAAAAAAAAGGTGTCGGTACTCCAGGGGAAAAGTTGATGACCAAAAATACCAAAAAAAATTGCCCTTTTAAGAGCAGAGCAGGCATTACCCTTTTAAGGTGGCCATTTTAAAATCTGTCCTGGGACGCTCCATCCTCCCCCCCCCCCCCCAATCTCCACCAGCCCAAGCTGCCAGCGGATGCCCAAGCAAGGAAAAAAGGAAAATATCGGACGTGTCACATGGTATTTTCTGAATATATATTTATATTACCAAAAAAAATTGCCCTTTTAAGAGCAGAGCAGGCATTACCCTTTTAAGGTGGCCATTTTAAAATCTGTCCTGGG